GATAAAAACGTATTGTTTTTCTTAATTTTCATTAATTTTGTTTACTTAATTTTATTATATATATATATATATATATATATATATGCATGTGTGTGTGTGCGTGTGCGTGGGTAACTGTAAAGGGTCGGTCATTACAAAACACTCTGTATATTCCTTTATCTATGTAAAAGCTAGCTCGCTATTTAAAAACGATTGCTTACCCAGTTTTGGGTGTTTTCCAGCACTCACAACTTCTAAATTTTCAAAAAGTCCTCCATGTCATTAAAATTCCGTGAGGAACAAAGAAAAGTCTCTTAGTTTCTTAGGAAAATCTCCTACGCATTTGTATCTCGTACAAATTGTTTCCTTCATATTATTTTAAAAACAGATAGTTATTTTTTAACAATCTATGAATTGCTATTTTTATCCGTTTACTAAAATGAATCATTAAAATACTTTTACTGCATCATCAAATAAGCTGCATTTTCCGACAGGCATCTTTTCAAACGTAAATAAAAAGTTTTTCAGCATTAGATGGAGACATAAACAGGCTTTTTAATTTCTTTTAAGTTAAGGGTAGACTTTTGAAAATAAAATTCGTTGCTAACAGGTTAAGTAATTGCTGAACAAATAAAAGGATCATGAAGGAAAACTAGGCTATCTTTTGTGACCTCATTTATTTCCCCCCAAATCTTTTACTCTTCAGCTGTCTCGAGGCTTGTAATTGGTACAGTTTTCTCTCTTTTTGCTTCATCTAAAATTATATCTTAAGTGTTGCTTGTTTTTTTTTTAATAATAAACGATGTAAAAGTTACATCTTATTTGATGAAAATTTTATAGCGATTGTTCTTCATAAAAGCGTTGAAGAAAATCACAAGCTTGTCTATTTTTAACCTTTATTTTTTATTTTTAATGCAACAAAAACATGATTAGCTGAAATAAACAAACAATGTGTTTCTTAGTATTAGCTTAGTTAAATAAATTTTTCTGAGAAATATTGTAAATGCACTAAAGACAGTTGCATTGTAGTACTTGAAAGACTACCACGTTCGTGCAGTATCCTTTACATAAAATGCGTGGTATGATATACTAGCTATTTCAGCTTATGCATGAAAAGCCAGTGCACTTTAAAAAAAATCCGTAAAAATTACAGAAAAAAACTGTCTGCTGGTGTACGAGTATAAAACCATTTAAAAAATCAGTTAAATTTACAAAAAGAAACCCGTTAAATTTTTAAAAAAAGCTGTCAGCTGGTGTGCCAGTATGAAATTGAATAGGAATTTCAAAGAAAAATATTTTTATTGAAGAACTGATGCCTGTTTCTAAGCAGATAAGTACTGTTATTTTAATAAACACACTGTTATTTTTAGCAAAAAATAACAGTATGAAAAATTACATCAGCATTATAGTCAGTGCGAGCCGAGAGCAGAATATGAATAACCAGTCAACGCCGGATTCGAATCCGGGTCCCCGCATTAGGAGGCAAGCGTTCTCTCTTCTGAGTCACAGCAGCTGCCTTTTTTTATAAAGAAAAATCTAAAACTGTCTTAATCTTGAAAGTCTTTCATTTTGATATCATATTTAAGTGCATAGTGGCCCACTCTAAAATGTCTAGCAATTCAGCTTACCAAAAAATTATAACTTAAGAAAATCAGGTACAGTATGAATTTAATAATTGAGTTTAATCACGAATTTATTTTTATGAAGTTTAAAACAATAAAATAGTTTCGGAAATGTCGGAACAAGCATAGAAATAATTGTAAAATAATTTGAAAAAAGATAAAGTTATCTTACGGTAAGCAAAAATACGTGACTAAAACTAATATCTGAGCTGACAATTTTTTTACGTTTACGATTAAGGTAAAAAACAGAAAACTGATTTGTGAAAAATCGTCAAATATACGGAAAAAGTCCTTAAAATTAATGAGAATGTTTCGCAGCTCCCAAGTAGCAATGAAAAACAGAAAAAAGCTATATTTATTTTTAAATAGTTTTTTTTCTGTGAAACCCATGTTTTTTTCCTGTAGAATTTACAGTTATTTTTAACGGTGAGGCAATACACTTAAAGTTTTATTTTATTTTATCATTAACGTTGCAGAGCCGATCTTTTCTCAAATTTACGTTCAACGTTCAGCTCTGTAGTCTTGTAGTTTTGAATGCAATTCAAAAATCAAAATTACTCTTGGATAAAGTATTAGGACTTTTAGATGGGTCTAACCCACATTTGCGTTACATAGAGAGAACAACCACGAAATCATTCCACGGTCATAACGACGACAAAGGGATTATAACCCATAATCCGACTACCACAGGTAGAATTTTATGTAAGCACTGGGGTGATAACGGGGATTATTTAACCCAAGTCAAAAATTTTTATAGTTTTCCACTTAATGGACCAACATAATCATGATGGTAGCATCATAAGCCATCATAGTGGTTCCATCATAAGCCATCATATTTTTTTGATGGTAACCAACACAAGTGACCATCACCCCAATGTAAGAATTCAGACTAATTTTAGATTGTTCAACATAAGAATAACAACTTGTTTTGATGGTTCGAACATCAAGAATTTTTTCTCATCAATCAATTGTTTTAATAATCATGAATAACCATCACTACAATGCAGGAACTTGGACTTATTTATGATGGACCAACATAAAAATGCAAGTTGTTCTGATCTTTTGTCTTTGCATTACCGACAAGAATTTCCATCGTAGCATTTTAGAAAATTATTGATGGAACCATCATGAATACTCTTTACTTCAATATAGAAATTCAGACTGCTTTATGATGGACCAAGATGGGAAAAGCAATTTGTTGGCTTGTTCATGTTGAACCATTAAAAAATTCCATCATAGAATAATTCAAATGATTTGTTGGAACCATCATAAGCAACCATCACCCCAATATTTTCGGATTGATTTATGATGAATCAACATGAAAACCGTTATGTATAGAAATCGAGT